TCGGGATATCCTCACTATTATACAACTTACCTCCTACATACAACATATCTACCACGTATACCTACATATTAATATTTATGTTTCATAGCTAATGAGTTATTGTAGTTAATCTAACATAATTACTTACGGCACTAAAAATAATAAAAAAAAATGGGCTTACTTATTCTTATTGCTACTTTCAACTAAGTACTAATGTAAACTAATTACAAGGTACTAAAATAATTTACTTACTTATTATTATTGCTACTTTCAACTAAATACTAATTTTAACTAATTACAAGGAAAATGATCATCCAGGTGGCTTCCGCAATACCAAGCTTGCTGAAAAATAATAAGATGATGACTGGGGATTAGTTTATGAATGTAGGTATATATTCACATTGACATTGACAGTGACAGATCCGGTGCTTGGCAGCCACTTCCGAGTATTATCGATGACATTGACAGAAACCTTCTTTCCTCGCTTTCAACGCCCTAAAGATAATGAATCTCGTTTCATGCATCTACATTTTGTAAAATGCTTTCTTGACCTCTTTGTAAGTACTGTGGCTTGAGTACCATACACCATAGTTGGTGCAATAACCGTCTCGAATAGTATTGTGCCCACCATTTTTGAGGCAATAACTGCATCTCTTGAGCGCTTTCGGGTGGTTAAATTCCGGTGAAGTCGTTCCGTGATCGGTACTCCAAGGTAAAATAACGAAGATGTTGTTTTGTAAACATGTCCAGCAATAACTAATTCTGAGGGTGATATTCCTACAGGTGATCTTATCATTACTTGACATTTTTGCTCATTCAACTTTAAGTTGACTTCTCCCAAGTAGTTCTGGAGCACTGGTAATAGCTTATTTAATTCCTCTACTGTTCTGGCAATTATCAGAATATCATCCGCATACACCAGAATAATAGGAAATTTGAGCTTACCGGACTGATTCAGTTTGAGCAAACCATCCAACTCATCCTCGACTGTTATAAGTACTTCTTCCATTATGAGATCGAATATATAGGGAGAAAGAGGGCATCCCTGTTTAACCCCTTTCATTCGATTTTTTGGACCTGTCTTTTGTCCTTTCCAAAGAATCTGTTGCTCCTCCATATTGAGGCATCTCGTTATTCTATTGGTCAGTTCTTTAGATGCTCCTTTACCCGTAAGAATGACTGGAAGTGCTGTAAGGCTGATATTGTCAAATGCTTTTTAAATATCTAAAGCCATCACTATTATATCGTCGCCCGCATTCCATTTTTCTTCCAAAATGCGGCGTGCAGCAAAGATGTGGTCCATCGTTGAACGTTGACTTAAGAAGCCTGCTCTATGAGATCCGATAGGGCTGGTACATTCAATCAGGTGCCTAGAATCCAGCTCGCATAAATTTTGTAACCGATGCTAGCTAATACAATCTTCCTGAAATCCTTTGCTGTCTTGGTGCTTTTAATTTTGGGAATGGGAATTATTAGAGTTTTCCGCCATCCTCTAGGAATGTTGTTCTCCTCCCATACTCTCTTAAGTAGGTTTTTGAACTCTTCCAGCGTCGGTTCATCCGCATATTTTAGCAGTTCAATCTGTATCCCATCTTCCCCAGCAGCTTTACCATTCTTACAGCTTTTGATTATTGTTTCTATGTGTGTTGACACATCCACACAGCGCAGGCGCAGAAATAATGCAGTGACGCCAGTTATTTTAGAGATCATAAACACTATGTACCATGGGTACCAAACAGTGCCAATGAGTGTGCCCAGGTTTTCCCATATGTGTTTTTGACACACTGTGCTGAGTAACCAACCCCTTGACTGTGCCATTAAAATGTTAAATAAAGAATCACCCCTCTGCGAAATTATGGCGTGCGTAAAAATCTGGATACGTTTTCAGGTTCAAAAAGTTTTACTGGAACAGTCGGTGGTGTGTTCATGTGCTTAAATAAAATATAGATTGAACTCTATTATGATGCATGTCCATCGTCACAACTTTGCATAAGTCGATCATTAGGTTCATATTGAGTGCCCTAATCCATGTTAATCAAGTCGAAAATTACAAAGACTTCAATAACTCGAATGTAGTTCAATTTATTGGAAAATGCCCGACGAAACCCTGTGGGTTGTTCGACATTATATGATGGGCATTGGAGTGAGCGAGCGCGATTCTCGAATGCATCGATTTATTAACGTTTGAAATCGGCTCAATGGTGGGCTATGCGAATTATTGGGAAACTTTCCATCTAGCCGAGGGGCCATCAAATACATACTCATTCTTTCATTATTCATCAATGAGAAAATGTGTACCCTTTCTTCGTAATATTTTTCATCAATGACCCGGATTTGGAATCTCAAAATTTACTTCTCTCTACATATGTTCTTTTAACTGGAAAAAAACTACCTCCTTCTCTCACAAAATTATCTCTAATGTGGTCATCTAAAGTTCTAATACCAGAAAATCTGAATACTATGATGAGTTACATTTAATTTGCATGGAAATATAAACGAACTCCATTCTGCCAGGCTACAGAATCTGACTCGGGGTTTTAAGTTGAATATAGCCTGATTTGGGGTTGATGAAGTTCCCGCTGCAACGCTACGTCTACGTCTACGAGGTTGTTCCAAGCTCACAGAAATTTCTATAAACGATGCAAAGTATCTGTAACTTTCAATATTATTGTTTCTTGGATCAAAGCCTGCTATGTCTGAATTGAAGAGGCTAAATTTATAAAGAGACGGCATGTCAACATTGGAACAGCCGATTATCTGTCAAAGACCTATTAAATGGATAAGATGTCGCCTCTTTACCCAATTCAGTCTCTTTAGTCTGAATCTATAAAACTGGTAAGAACCTAATGCCCAACCAAGGGGTGATCTGTTAAAATATGGTGATCCTAAAAAAAGACTTTCAGCTCCTTAATAAAGAAACAACAACAACAACAAAAGGTGGATTGTTGTGGTAGGTTAGAAACCATACCCAAGCAACATTGCAAGTTTTATCGCAGTTTTATAGCATTCTACAAGTCTAAATCATGGTCAATAGAACCCTCATAAAACCTAAATTGTTACTTGGGATAGGTTCCTATAGTACCGCAACTTTACGTTTAACCTACTCAATATTGTGTAGTTTCGATTTAAAGGAAATGGGAATTTCAAGGCCAAATTGCAAAATTAAAATTAATTTCGGACGTCTGCGATTTTCATTTGGCGTTTATCGGTTTCATAACAGTTTTGAAAATATTTCAGCGGCATCGGTGGTGTAGAGGTTAGCTTGATTGCTTCTATCCCCAAAGGTCCTGGGTTAAATCCCAATCGGCGCCGCCGGGATTTTCTGAGGCATAACATTTCTGATCACGGTTTACTTCGGAAGGGAAGTAAAGCCGTTGGTCTCCGGTCCATGAATGCCTAATAAAAATTGGCTAATATTTTTTTCGCTCGCTGGATCTGCCAGCCAGCACCTAGAATCGGATATGTTGTGCTAGCAATCTAGATGTTCTGACGAGCAGCAGATGTCCGTGGTAAGCTCATATGATTGAATTAGGGATTCGATACTTTGGCGGCTCTCAAAGATGTTATCCTCTTGATTGGTTCATTGGATTGCCTCGAATGGGTTTCTATCTAATCTAGTCGAACACCAACATAGCTAGTTTTTGAAAGCATCCTGAAAAATGATCCATCATCTATTTGATATATGTTTCAAATAGAAGATGCGTCACAAGGAGCCAGGCCTACTGTGTGGCATTTAAGGGGCAAGATGATTCAGAAAACATCGGTGCTTCAGAATTCAATAAATGAATGAAACGTGGACATCTCGTACCGTTTTCCAGTAATCAAAGGATCACATTTTAGTCCTTGTTACTTTTCATGACTTGATAATAGTGACAAGACTTGTTAATGCTGATAGATTTCATATATGAATAGAAATCTCCTTATACCTTTTGGCAAATTTCTATTGCTGATTATTCATAAAATGTATAAGTCAACTAATAAGCAGACGCCTTGCAAAAAGTTAATGAAGATCATGTGTCAAATGAAATGTATAAGCGGTCACACATACCTTTTATGCCTTCTTATAGGACCTATGTGGTTTGTCTTATGGAATGTATAACGCTGATGTTTGGCAAAAAAAATGTATAAGTGAAACACATGAATAAAATAATTGATTTTCGTTTCGTGTATAATCCTTTTCCCTTCGTCCTTCTCCTTTTCCTTTCCCTCTTCTCTTTTCAGAAAGCGAGTAATGGCGCTATAGCCATAAGTCATAAAAGGCTAGGACAAGAGTTAGTGCTCATGCCCCAACCGTCAGAAGAAAATGGAGCATCACTTAACTTTCTAGCTTTGATGCTTCCAACGACCAACCAATCATATAATTACCAAAATCTGAACGTACGGTACGAGATGTCAACGTTTCTAATCTAATCTAACACCAACACAGCCAGTTCTTGAAATCATCCTGGAAAATGATAAATATAAGATCATCTTGGTAATTATATGAGTGATTGGTCGTTGCAAGTTGGTTAAGTGATGGTCCATTTTCCTCTGAATAGTTTTGTGTAACTAAACATATTTTCAATCAGAAAATAAATACAGCCCATCGAAAAAAGACATCAAATTCCCTACTCGCCAACCTGATTGAGAGTGATGCATGCATTAATTACGTTTGTCAATGTTTACCATATGACGAATGGTGTGTGTGTGTATGTTGTTTACCTGCATGTGATACGATAAACGTTGAACTCGCTCGCTATTTGAACTTCCAGCATGGCAAGCGCAAAAAAAAACCCCACAACATCAATCTGAGCTCGGTGGTGTCCAGGACGAATAAATCACGACTATTTTCCTCGCTTTACCGTTGCAAATGGCTCTATTGCGTGTCTCATTGCCACATGATAATGAAGTCAACTTTTCCCCCACATTTTCTGACATGAATGTGTTTGGCTAGCAAATTGCTGATCGTTTTCAGCTAATGGCCTGCTATGTCGACGGTGATAATAATTCTCATTCTTTTTCTTCTTCTCCTTTCATTCCAGGAACTCGAGGACCTCTCGCCGAAAACCTCCCCAAAGCCCCGTACTGCCCCCGTTGCTTCGACGACCCGTTTCCCGTTCGACCCGCCCAAGTCGCCGAAAAGTGGCCGCATGCCAGTGTCGTCGAGAGCTAGTAGTCACGAACCGATGTTCAACTTTGACGATTCGCCCAACCCAATCCGGCGGCTACCGCCTAAGGTTTCCCCTTCCGACTACCCCAAGGAGCGATCACCCAGCAGGGATGCCAACAAGGAGAACCGTCCCAAGGTGGTGGAAATGTCGGCAACGCCCGCCAAGCGAAGCAGCCCGTACAAATCTCGGAAAGATCGATTCATGCAACAGCAGCAACATCAGCAACAGAGTGGAAAACCTTTGAACTCAGCACCTGCTGTCAGCTGCGCCAAAGGTCAAAGCTACAACGATCCCAACATGACCATGTTTCCGTTCGATCGCGAAGCAATCGACTACGATCGAATCCAGCGCGAGTGCTTCGCCGTCGAGGAGGAATATCCGTACGAACACGACCGCGAAGACTACTGCGAATCGCCCTCGAAGACGATGATGGAGTCGGAGATCTTCACCGAACAGTACTCGATCTTCCAGCAGTACGCTTATCTGACCCAGCAGGAGCGGGACGCGCTGGAGAAGACTCCCCCTAAGCGTGGCAAAAAGGATCGCATCGATGCATTCTCGCCGAAGAAGAAAATCCCCAGCCAGCCTGGGGCTGTGTCGCCTCAGCGAATGTCCAAGTTCGATCAGATAGCCACCAAGTTTGACATGATGCCCTCAAAGTACGACAGTTCCTCGAAAGGACGAACGAAAATCAGCACCGGATGTGGGCTTCCAGATCTACGGGTTGATTATTTTGCCGAAACATCCTGCTGTGCCGATGAACTGCTGACTACGTCGTCGTCATCGTCATCGTCGGGGGCAGGAGCTGCGTCGTCGTCGTCGGCTTCGGGGTCTTCCGAGGGAAAAACGCATGCGTCAGGCGGTTCGGCCGGTCCGCGATCGGTCGAAGTCGTTGGAGCAGGCGCACTGGCCAGCGGCCCTATAAATGTTACACCCAATCCGATGGACAGCGCAGTTTGTACGCAACCTCGGGCGACAATAGTCGTACAGCAAGTACGTAGTTTTGTCCCTATTATCGTAGTTTGGTAGATGTTTTTGATCGTGTTTTCTATCGGGAACTTGTTTGTATCAAAATTCAAAATTTCCTCCTCTCGGACGGTAAACGCGTGATACGACGGTAAATCGACTGACCTCAACCGTGTCGGCTAATGTGACAAGTGAAAGATTATCTAAATAAGAAGTGCATTTGGGCAGGGAAAGGAGCCAAAATTTCGAAATTCCTGGCTCGACCAGGCCTGGATCGTGTGATCTGGATTCCGTGAGATCGTATATTTATATTCGATCGTTCCCAAGCCAGAAAATTGAAAACGTGTTTATTTACAACAGTCTGTCAGTGCCCATAGCGAGGATCGTGTGCCATTTTTCATCGCGTGTTATTTATAGGCGCCGGTGTGGGGTTCTTCCAGTGCCAATTAGCATCATTCTGTGTGTGCGTTCTAATGCTGAAGCACCCGGTGAAATGTCCCAGACGACTTGGATGCAAATGCTGTTGCTGCTGCCGCGGCTGTCAAGGAACCAACAGTGTTGCCCGTGTTGATTATTATCATTTGTGCCGTGCAAACTGTTTCCCGGTGTTTGAATTATAAAAAAAAAGAAGTTGTGTCAGGTTTTCTTCGGTCTGGACACACATTTTGAAGATATAGTGGCATGTGGCTTGGATAAACCGAAACGTGGAAGCACTTTGAACCGTACCAGTGTTTTGGATATTTAATGGTGGAAACATTTGATACGTGTCACAAGTGTCTGGAGAGAAGAATGAATCGAATTTTCAAGAAGATGACGACGCTCCTCGATAGGAAGGTATGGCTTTCGGGGGTTTTGACCTAGCGGAAAATGAACTAACTGGTTTGAAGCAATTTAACACATTAATATTCGGGTTTTGGGACAATCTAGTTTCTGAAAGGACGTTAATTATATGAGGCTCAGTCAAAATTATTCCCGATTTATTATGCTGTTAAATGGGATTTAATTCTCGCACTTGTACTAAACTGAGGAAAATAAGACCGAAATGCGATGAACTCCGGACAGTTAAGCACATACAGTATGTAAAAAATGTATATTAACCTGTATTTCTAAGTTTTGACGTAGGACTATGTCTGCGATTTCTATATAGGGGTACACTTTGTGGAAACCAAAAATGGAACATGTAACAAAATTATGAAAGATTTTGAACGTTAATAACTCAGCTGCCCCTGAACCAAAATTTTTATATAATAATTTTATCACCAATCGATAAGAAATATTTCTACGCTTTATCATTTTTCAAAGTGTCACTATTGAAAATTGCACGAATGTGCAACTGTTGCTATGATAATTAAAATTATCACCGATTACCTGCGAAAAGCGATTTCCCTAACACAGATTTCAAAGTTGAATTCCATCCGGTCTCACCAAACGGTGTTTATTCAATCCAGTACACAACGAAAGAATGCCATCTAGCAGCGAGCTGCAGCCCACATGACCATCCATAGAAGGAGGAAAAAGCCGCACAGCTATTGATCGGAATCAGTAGCTCTTCGTGAGTCGCTGTGGGCCATCTATGTCAAGCGCGTCATACTAAAGAGTATAAACAGAGAGAACTCCGCTCAAATTACTATTCCTACACAAAACACAAGCTCCTGCTGCAGTTAACAAATAAAATTTATTATATAAGACCACGTAGTCCTATGTACGCCACCATTGCGTACAACTCCATAGGACTGTCCCTTGTCGTTTTTCAATTAAGTACATTAATGACTCGATTTTACAGGCTCCTCCTGCCATCAGACTTTTACCAACAATCAATACGAAACTAACGATTTTAAATTGGCTCACCACTTTAGTAGCCTATTGGTCCCAAGCAAACGATTAACGTACCCTATTCTAGTCGAAATTCTAGTACTACGCAATGTTTGTTTTGATTCGCTATGAAAGTTTGACAGATAAAATGAGGGGTTATTGGTTTTACCTATGTTTCGAGGGGTGATTCGACAAGCTTGGGACCGAAGATAGTACCAGAGGTGAGCCAAAAAGTTGAGCACGTTTCTTTGGGACCTACTTGTCTTAGAGTTACCTCTATGCTTTTACCTATCAATAATGTTACGTAATCTCAAATCTTTCTCATTAATCTTCAAGATGAGCCGGCACCGGTGGTGTAGTGGTAAGCGTGACCGCTTTTTCACCCCAATGGATGTGGGTTCAATCCCAGCCGAGGTCGGTGGGATTTTTCTGAGGCATAAACATCTCTGGTCACGTCTTCCTTCGGACGGGAAGTAAAACCGTTGGTCCCGGCCCATGTATGTTGAATGGGTGCGATATCTTACGCAGGTGTGGAAGCTGCCTTTCTGCATTTTTTTTTTAAAGAAAATAAGCATACAAAGTTGCTCAAGTAGACGAAATCTATACACTCACACTGCCAACCATTTTTCGTGTTAGCGTGAAATTCGTCCATTTTTAAAATCAATCGCCATCTTGGGATTGATATTGTCATTACAACAATTCATGAAGATTGGCTATTTTATCAAAGACCCGCCATCTTTAAATCACCATTTTGAAGGTAATCTACCATATTGAATCCACCATTTTAAAAATCAACCGTCATCTTTCCATTGAAATCGTCATTTCAAAAGTAAAATTATCATAACTTTACAATAGTATTGCATTCCACCATCTTGAACCCACCATTTTGAAATTTAAATTGCAATTGAACAATATTTACAAATCAACCTCCCTCTTGAATTCATCATTTTTCATTGAAATTATAACAATATTGCATACATAAAGACCGACCATTTTATAAAAGACCCATGTGGCCTTGAACCTATAATTTTAATAATCAGCCGCCATCCTGAATAAAGCATTTTGAAAATAATCTTGATAATCTTTAGTTCCGATAATTAAATGTTAAATTTCGATCCAAGCTGGTGCACTATGGGCAAAAATGGGTCCAAAATTATCCAAAATTCAATATCTCAACAGCACGCTGAATTCCGGCCATGAAAAACATTTTTTCCCAAGGGAAATTGTCCGGGAAATCGATTGCACGTGGTCCCATAGACCGGAGAGCCTTGTAGGTATGTGTATTGGACCATTTTACCCCATTTTCCCCTACTTTTTGGAGGAAATGTTTTTTCACAGCTCTATTTTTCGTAAAACATAAGCACTTTATGCATGGTTTTAAAATACTATGTCTTTAAAAAAAACAGTTCATGAGATATTAGGGCAATACGGGGTACGGGGCCGGAATTTAGCGTGCTGTTGAGATATTGAATTTTGGGTAATTTTGCACCCATTTTTGCCCATAGTGTGGTGGTTGATTTTTAGGATGGTTGGTTCAAGATGGTGGATCTTTATGAATAATCTGCCAGCTTAGAATTGAATTTGTCATTGCTTAAACAATATTTCTTTCAAAAAGATCGAACATTTTATCAACGATCCACTATTTTCAATGCACTAGTTTAAAAATAATCTACCATCTTGAATCCACCATTTTGAAAGTAATGAACCATCTTTGGATTATTTTATAAAAGAGCAGCCATCATGAATCCATCGGTTTAGCGCCATATTGAATCCACCATTTTGGAAATAATCTGCTATCATGGAATTGAAATTGTTATTACAGCAATAATGCATTTTATTTAGGAAGGTTGCCAATTTATAAAAGACCGGCCATTTTGAAACCACCATTTTGAAAATCATCCTTCATCTTGAAGGTTTGCCACTATCTTGGAATTTAAATTTTCAATTGCAATTGTAACAAAATTTCTTTCAAAAAGATCGATAATTTTATTGACGACCCACCATTTTGAAAATGAGCCAGAAATGATCATTTTTAAAATGTTCGATCTTTTTGAAAGAAATATTGTTGTAATTCATTTCTATCATTTTTAAAATGGTTGGATCTTGGAAATTTAATTTGTTATAGCAATTTCAACAATATTCAGAACGACCGACCACTAGACTGATGCAAAATTTGAAATTTTCGCTCCACAGTTTTCAAACGGTTCCAATTTGGTTCCTGATTAGCCAATTTTGTGTTCATATCTATCTAATAATTAACCCTATTACTGTGCTGTAAAAATTGATAGCTACACTTGTAGTGAATTTTCACAGCTACAACTTTGTTGCAAACCATTATTCGATAAATGTAAGGATCAAAAGTTATTAATGATTCAAGTCACTATTGACTTATGATTATGCTCAATCAACTGCTCAGCAGGCAACATTGGTGTTTCTAGCGCGTAGAATAGAGCTAAAATATCATGGCTACTATGACAGACTGCAGAATACAGTGTTGCCCACTGATCAAGCATGCCATATAATTATCAATCTCTTGAACAATTAATAGCTATTTAATTTGATGTTTGGCAAAAAAACAATATTCCGCAAAGTTGTAGCTAAGAAAATTTTCCATAAGAATAGCTATAGGAATTTTTTACGGTGCATTATGAATGAAGGATAGAAGACTACGAAGAAAAAGTTTGGTTTCTCCATAGTAATCTTCATACAAACTTCAAATGGTTTGTGCCCAGTAAGTTTTTTTTACCAAATCAGTTCAAATCTTGGGAGGCTAATCTAGACCCGATTTGGAACCGCTTGAGCACTGTGGAGCGAAAATGTCAAATTTTGCATCAGTCTACCGACCACCTTTAGGTCAATTTATCAAAGACCTATATTTTTTAATCTACCATTTTGAAAATCATCCTCCATCTTGAATCCACCGCGGAAGAAGCTTCTGATCTCTTCGCAAAATTCTTCAAGGATGTTTTTTCGACTACCCCTCCCGCTCATTCTCCGGATGATCGTCGTGACTGGATGAGCAGCATAGTTCATTACAACTTGCATTTGCCGCAGTTGGATGTATCTGTTGAAGAGGTGATGAAAGTTATTTCATCTGTAGATCCTTCTAAAGGCCCTGGTCCAGACTGTTTGCCGCCATCGTTCACTAAGAAATTTTCTGCATCTCTCGCTTCACCTGTGTCGATTAGCTTCAATCGTTCGCTAGTTAGTGGTGT